CGAATCAGCTGTTTTGATTGTTTATTTGCACAGCACTGGACCAGATTTTACACAAAGCTGTTCCTTGAAAATCTGTGTAAAAAGCGTAATTTGGCACTTTATTTGTGTTACGCTCTCAGTTTGTACCTAACTTGTGTTTTACTTGAGTTTTATGACGAGTAGCTCGTGGAACAGACCTAATATTGCCAAAGAAAACAACTACAGAAGATTATGTTTTTGATCAGACCAGACCGTGTCACCCATAGTTTGAATTCGAGTTACGCAAACATCGTAATACCCGAATACTTTAAATCATTAGTTTTTATTTTGTAGTTTTATTATGAACATTTTTTCGTTACTGTTCGCGCTATTGATCAGTAGAAAAATTACCAAATTCTTGACTGAACTAAAATAATCTGTAACACCACCTTAACACGTCAAACAACTTCTCATATTTCGATTGCAAAATTTGATATATTTATTGCGCCATTAACTTCGCTTACAATTAAGTAAATTAGTTAATAATTGCCATTGTAATTTAAACAGTTTAGCTATAATTACTAATGACAATTTTTAATTTGTTTAAAATTTTTTTTATACCATAAATGTACTCTATACGTACTCTACTCTATTCTGGCATCGGCGAGCAATTGTTCTTTTCCTCGAATTTTTTCAATATACATACATATGTGTATTAGTACTTAATAGCATTACTGACCGATCAATTTGTAGTCTTCCTTATCAATTTAACCTTTTTCAAGGTTTTTGTACATTAACTGTCCTTCAAACTTTGTTGCGCCTCCACTACGTGCTATTTTATTGGGGTCCGATCATCGATGATCACAACAAAATATCGGTGACCGATTTCAAAAAATCTGATTGAACTCATATATTTTATATGCATTATATATATTATGTATATTTAAACGTGATTAGTAATTTAAGTTTCTCAACCCAATAAGTATTTGTTACTATCAGCAATGGAAGTGGATCTGTAAATGTGTTTATAATGCTCGGTAAGCATTAATTCGGTTTTTTCTGATTTTTTTTTTTTAATGTAAACTGTTGAATTTTATTTTTTTGTGAACTTATTTTGGAGGTGCTTCAGTTTTGTTTGGACTGCTGTCGTGCAATCAAAAGGGCGTTGACCAACCAGTCCACAAGTTTATGTGTCAAAGTACTTCAGTCAGTCTTGATGCATTTCATTTTTGTTGACGAACGATAAGTTCGATTGCACTGCTTTTTATATATGCATTATTGACAAAAATGGTTACATAAAATTTAATTTATTATCTTTTCATAATAAATATAATTTATTTTACAATTTATACTCATAAGAATGCAGAGTGCAGCAACTTCCTTTTTAGTTTTTTGAATAATTGTCGTGCTTTATAACATTAATCACCAATTAAATTAATTATTAATATAAGAAAAATTAGGAAATTTGAACTTTTATTCAAATAATAATAAAAAAAGTGATGATAATTTTATTTTCTAAGTACCATATAAATTATCATTAGTTAAAAATGTTTGTTTGATGCACTTCACTATAAAGTAGTATATGGTATATAAATAATATATGTATGTATCTCTCTCTATAAACACATTTTTATAAGATATACTTAAATTAATTTTAAATTTTGTTTATTTTTGAACTCAATTATTTGAACAATTATTTTTTGCAATAAAAAAATGTTAAATCTCAAAATATCAAAAAAAAATTGATGAAGTTTCAGGTTTGTGTTTACACAAAATAAATGTCAGCATGATTTTATAATTTTTTTCTGTCCAAAGTTAGTAAACAAATTAAAATTAATTAAATTTAACAAGCGACTATAATTTTCTTGAAACACGAAAGTTAAAAAGAATTTAAAAAATAAAAAAAAATGTTTTCTTGTTTAAGATAGAATTATTTGACACTTTTTGTGAAATGTCACAACAACAAAAGGCATTAAAAATATTTTAATTCGTTATTTTCGTCTACGATTATCTAGTTCTTAAATTTGGTCAAACTTTTTAAACATAACACATTCCATATATGTATATTCATGTACTAATAATCTAAGACTCAAAGTTATAAATTTTCTATGGCATTAGTAATATTTGGTACTTTGCTATATTCAAATCATTTAGTTACATTCTTTGTGACTGCCCAACCTTGATCTGGACCAGGAGGAGTTCACTGGATCGAGAACTACTCTTCCGTTCTGACAGCTGACATTCCGGCTTTCATTCGGAAGGCGAGAAGTCTTCTGTTTGGTTATGGTTTTTTGCAGCAAAATATCAAACATGGTCGCAGTGCTGCTCTTTATTCCTATTCCTATATTCAAATCAAACGATCTTTAACGAGTTGAAGATACGAGTATTAATATTAAACCTTTAAAAGTACTTTGAATTTGATATAAAAAAAGATACTGACTCTACCAAAGATATTTCATTGTCCTTTGTTGTTGTGTTGTTGTCCTTTGATTAACTAGTTGCCTAGCAAGTATGATTTCTCACATGTTAGTATAAAGTTCTTGGCAATACAATATGTAAATATGTAAATTGTAGTACTGGATTAATTATTTATAAGCGGAATAAATGCACTTCACTACTCTTTTAAGCACTATTTATAAGAAGCATAAAATATATCATTAATCAGATCTACCTAAGAGGACCTAATTTCACTTATAGAATAGCCCGATAATGATTGCTAAGAACTCTCTTAAAAAAAAACACAGATGGAAGTTTCGAAAAAATTTAACGCCATTTTGAAATGGCCAAATCTATCATAAAACTCACACAAATATAATAAGATTGAATTTTCTTCGATTAAGTGCATTGAAGATACGTCAACGACTGTTAAGAACTTCATCGGGGGCTGACAAAACCAATATCTCCATGTTTGAGACATTAATTGCAAAACTAGACTTATAAAAATCTCCTGTACATATCTGACTTACTTCGGTCACATAACAAGATGATCAGAAACTTTGGAACAACTAGTTCCAAAGTGACCAGTACTAGACAAAGTGACCAGTTGTACTATAGAAAACAAGAAAGATCAGATACTTGATAATCGGAATAATTGATACCTTTGTTTGAAAAAACGATGTACAAAACAATACACTAAGATATGCAAAAATACACAAAGTATTATGCACATTTAGAATATATCATTTGTCTTGTCTTGTCATAAGACTGGAAAAAAAGTACTATATTTGAACCGTGAAACCAAACCATATTCTTGATTGTAAAATATTCCAAATATGTATATATAAATTTATGTAATATCTAATGACGTAACTTTATTTATGTATAACTACTACTTTTACATTTAAATTATTATTTTTTTTGTAACTCAAATCATTTATTATTTATTTTGTAATAAACAACCACGTTTTTATTTTTAGATGCCAAAGTTATACTCAAAGGAGTCAGTGGACGCCTACGGTCAGGTGAACTTACTGCCATCATGGGTCCTTCGGGTGCTGGTAAAAGTACATTGCTTAACATACTTTCCGGTTACAAGTAAGTTTTAAAAATTAAACTTTATTATTGAGTTCAAGCAAATATTATTTTTGATATATATATATATATAAACTAATTTGACATTTCACACTATTTTACGTAACATACTTATTTGAGTCGGAGTGCTTTTTAGCTCAGACTTATTGAAAAACCAGATTCCTTCACATAACATTCACATTCGCCTTTATTTCTCCTATGTCCCAAAAAAATTTTTACTTCTCATGCTACTCCTATTTTACCCAATCACATCCTAATCCCCATATTCGTATTGCTTCGTATTCATATCTTATGCTATATAGATCTCCATGGTTTACAACAACAACACTATCTAATCCATAATCTATCTCCTCAAAATAATTCCCGTTAGCAAAAAATTGATTAATTTCAAACAATATTTAATATTCAAATAAAGTATGTTGAATATTTTTAGATGATCGTTTTGTGTCTTTAATTTTCTATATATGTTAAATTAAACAAGTCCATTGTCATTATCGACATTCGATTGAGATCAGAGTAAACTTCTAAGTATTGTTGTAATGTTTATTGTATATAATCATTGGAGAATTTGTGCAGCTCTTCCGGTGTTTCTATCTCGAAGCTAGCGAACACTATTAAAGTTTCGATAGAGCAAACCCAATTGGGCTCTTCGATAGAGGAAACCCAGTTTGCCTCTGTGTCGTTTTATTGTCCAATATTTTGTGAGAACTGATATCTATATCTGTTGGTTAAGAAAGAAATAATAGATTTGGAATATGTAGACCATGGTGCCCTTGAACTGACTACTGAATTAAGACTATGCTTGTTGGACTATCACAGAAAGTGATCATGTGTCAATCTGTCTCTGTGACTGAAAAGAACAGGAATTGATTTGAGAGATTCTGTCGTAAAGGTACAGGATTTCGCTAATTCAATATTTTGTCAAAATAGAGTTACCTTCGAACTATTGCTCAATAAGTTAATAATATCACCATATTCATGAACTGCTTTAAAATAGATTTAAACAACTAAATATTAGAATATAGACTTTCTTTTCCTGTGGGTTTATAACTTTAATGAGAGAGCATTGTATTATGAGGACCAATATATCAAAATAAATAAAAACAAATAACGGGTGAGGTAGGGCGAAAAATATAGAATATGCAAAGTTCGTTTAAATAAATATGCGAATGTAATGCAAAAATGGTTAAACCTTTACAGATGAGGGCCACTGTATATTTCAGTTTCCCAAAGAAATTGACATGTTTTTTAAAAGTATATGAGTTTTTTTCGTATTTGTACAAGATATCAGGTACCCAAATTATAATATTTCCTTTCACTGAAATTAATTGGTGAATATTCGTACTAAAGTCGATAATGGTTCAGCAGCGTTCGCTGATAACAAGTTTATTGGGTAATTACAAATACGCTTATGTATTTATCTTTAGATAATTAATTATTAACACAACAAAGTTCTAATAAAAGTAATTTACCATAAAAATTCGGAATTTCCCATGCTTTTGAAAACAGTAGATATTGATTAAGTCAGTCGGCTTTTTTCACAAATACTACTTGCAAGCCATAAACCTTTGCCCCTGTATTATGTTTTCATTTTATGTCTAGGCATAAATCATATACCTATATAAGAAGCTATACTCGTGTTCACATACAGCAAAATTTCACTTAATTATTTCAGCATAAATTGTTTCATTATATTTTAATGAAACAATAAACCCATTTCAGAGAAACCTTGTGTTCTATAAAAAGTATATATAAACGAACCAGTACATACAAAATGTAGTCATATCTTCCATGAGAACATTTTTTTATAGTGTGTAAGGCGCAAATATTTTTATTTGTTTTTAATTATTTTGTTGATAAGAAAACATTAACAAATGCACAATTATTAAAATAAAAGATTTATAAATCGGTTTATAAAAATGTCATACATTCTTGCAACCAAACAAGCAAAAAGCAATGGAACCAAAATGGGTGGAGGATGCAGATTAGCATAATCGCTCAGTTTTTCTAATAATTAAATAAATTATTTTTCTATTCTATGTAAAAATATATAATAGACATTTCCTTTCACTTATTCAAGTACGCAACCTGCTTTACTCCCATTAATGAGATCAATTATGGGTCTAATTAAGTCACAGAAGAAGAAGCTTGGAACTGATAACAACACCTGTATAGTTTACTTATTTTTTCTTTTTTAGAGCAATTGAATTTCACTTTTAAGAACTGCATTTTTTTATTTAAAGTTTATTTGTATTAAACCCACGGACTATTATATTTATTTCGATTCCTTGGTGATGATCGTCTGTGTAGTCTTCCTTTATTCGCAAAAAAATATATTTTTAAAATACATAAGAACTGATCGTGGCCTGCAAAATATGGAATACCAAGAAGACAATCATGCAATTTTAAAAAAGGACGACCGAAACGGGTGTCTAACCATGAACTATGGTATAAAACTATTCAAAACATACAGTAAACGAAATGAAAGGAAATGGGGGTCCTTGACATGCTGTGACAGCCATATACGCAAACTGTTCTCTGATGGAACCCGTAGTGATGTCAACAACAGGCTACACTCACCTTAATATAAGAAACAACTTTCGACGAAGACATGAAAACACCTGCATAAACCAGGAGTCAAAACTACTAAGCTGCAGGCGACAGAGTTAGATTAAAAATATTATGAAAGCCCTATATTGTTGCAGTACTTTAAAATAACATTCACCTGTAATTTTGTCTCTTAGTCATTGTTGGCTGTTGTGTGTTGGTCTTGTGTGATGGTTTATAATCTTGCTAAAACGTCCACCCTTTCACTCATCAACATAGGTATTAAGTTGCACATGAAATTGTAGTACTTCCAAAATTTTTTCGTGATAAAAAAAATGCCAATGGAAAACGATCACCGACCGTCAAGCGATGGCGCTGGACTTCTTTTGGCCATACGAATGCCTATATTTCCGTTAATGACTATTTCAATGGTCTACGAATTACTCAATTGAGAAATTCTGCTCGTCAAAGAAGACCTTCTTAAGAAGTTCCTTAACTCCATTAAGCCTAGTTACTTTTTAACACTGATAAAGTCTGTCCTTTTTCAGACTTCCCAGACTGTATGTGAGGCTTCACTGTTTGATCTTTTTATATATCTTGATTTAGGCTAATCATTGTTTGACTAACTAGTTTCTTAAAGATCTGTATTTAAAGTACGCTTAATTAAATGGGTTAAACTAAGATTAAATATCTTCATATTGTCCAGTCATCGAAATAAAATAAATAATTTATGTAAATTGTCTTAGTTTGAAAGTCATTTTGACATTACTCATTACTGCCCGTATTTAAATTTCACATGTATGTACATGTAAATCACACTCACACTCTGTATAATATGCTCAGTATGTGTTACCATGTATTTTATATTTTAAGTTCTGTACTAAAATCCATTGAAAGTCAAACACCTATATAGGCACATACAAATGTATGTGCTCATTTCATTCTGTATCATAAGGTATTCTCGTAAGTTGTACATACACCTAGTATTTACTTGAAATTTGAACCCACCCAGTGTATTTGATTCGTGTTGCTTTAGTACAAAAGTAGAACTTCGTATCTGGAAATACGTATTTACTATATAATTGTAAATACTTAGATACGAGTGTGTTGTATATTTCATTTAATTGCATTAGTAATTTTCTTGTTATTTTATTTAGTGGACTTTAAACCTTTCCTTACTAATTATTCTTTGTTACTATAGATACTGTGCTACTCAGTATCTACACTGATAAAATTCGCTGTGTTGTTGCTGAGATACTTATATGTTAAGTTCATGATTCTAAATTAAAGTATTATTAGCAATCACTTTAAGTAGAACGTTTCTATAGAACTTGTTTAAAATGTTATTATAAAACTTTTGTTTTACGTTTCTGTATAGAAAGGTCGCTTCGTTTTCTAGATTTGAAATCTGCCTACTATCAATGCCTTAAATGAGTTTTAATTTATTTAAGTTCCTTATTATATAATAATAATATATAAATGTATAATATATATTATATATATATATTATTTGTTCAATATCATTTTTTCCAATTTTTTTCGATAATATTAGTTTGTTATTTTTTTCTAATAAAAATGAAATCAATTCTTAAAATTATGTTAAATACTAGCCAGGCCACTAATAAACTAGTGGTAAAAATGCGCCGATATTTATGATACCACCATACAAATATGAAAATTCATCACCATCTACACTACAACCAGTATTGTCTTTTTCAGCAAGTCGTTCTACTGATCTCGATTGCAAGCCAATGTCATACAATTGGACATCCTTAGGCTCTGAGCATCTTAAACTACGATATTTCTCCAGTGCCGGTAAATTCTGCCTTGCTATCGTTTTTACCTGAATCACCCTTCTACATATATGAAGTCAACAATTCTCCATAGTTTTTATCCACACAAACGTGATTCAGAGGTCAGAGCGTGTTAAAACTATTGTCTTATGTAGCAATATCTTGAAAGTAATGATGTGGTTCTTTGATGTGAAAAGTTTTAATAGATTGACCAAAATTAGCGTTTCTAAAATGTTTCTTTCCCATTTCCCTTCTTTCGTCTTTCTCTCCCTCTCTCTTCCTTCTCTCTCTCTCTCTTCTTCCTTCTCTCTCTCTCTTCTTCCTTCTCTCTCTCTCTTCTTCCTTCTCTCTCTCTTCTTCCTTCTCTCTCTCTCTTCTTCCTTCTCTCTCTCTTCCTTCTCTCTCTCTCTTCCTTCTCTCTCTCTCTTCTTCCTTCTCTCTCTCTTCTCTTCTCTCTCTCTCTTCTTCCTTCTCTCTCTCTCTTCTTCCTTCTCTCTCTCTCTTCTTCCTTCTCCCTCTCTCTTCTTCCTTCTCTCTCTCTCTTCTTCCTTTTCTCTCTCTCTTCTTCCTTTTCTCTCTCTCTTCTTTCTTCTCTCTCTCTCTCTCTCTCTCTTCTTCCTTCTCTCTCTCTCTTCTTCCTTCTCTCTCTCTTCTCTCTCTCTCTCTTCTTCCTTCTCTCTCTCTTCTCTCTCTCTCTCTTCTTCCTTCTCTCTCTCTCTCTCTCTTCTCTTCTCTCTTCTTCTCTTTCTCTTTTTCTTCTTCTCTCGCTCCTTCTTATTTCGTTCTCTTTCTGTCCCTCTCTCACTCCTTCTGATGTCTCTCGATCCCTCATTAATAATTCGCACTTCAGACATATATTAGCTTGAAATTTTTGTCCCATTGTGTTTTACTTATTACTAGGAAATCATTTAGACTCAGAGTAAACATTAACATTAATATTTAAACATTAAGTAAATATTATTGAAAATAGAAGGAAGTTTATACTACGAATGGTAAACTCTTAATTTCTCATAAACTAGAGCATCTTATATGCCGTAATGATTCTGGTGTAGCGCAAAGCAATCGTGCTAAAAGCTTAAATTAAATTTTGAATTAAAATAAAACGCTTAAGACAACTTCGGGTAAAAAAAATTACTTAGAATTTAAATACAGAAAAACATCACCTTTAAAAAAACAATTTTATTGTAGAACGCATAATTTTTATTTATTTATTTTTTTTTCTGTTATTTTCAACTAAATTTTTTTAAATTCATACTTTTGTTAGATTGTTAGAAATATATTTTGTTATTATTCTTCAAGCACGAACGTACTTTAAAAATCTACCAAAAATAGTAAATGTAAGATATAGTGTTGAGTTGAATTCCGCTGCCTGCTCCAAAAATTTGCTCACCATGTTAATTTGATCTGTGCATGACCTTTCATGTAGCAGGTCGAAAGCCGACCTGCTACATATAGTACTATTTAAGGTCATAGCTTTACTCTCTAAGATAATCTTGTTGAATATTTTCATTATTATGAGCAGCCATCATATTCCTGTCCAATTATTGCAACTTTTTCTATCGCCCTTCTAAGGTAGCTTCATTATAATAGACTCTTTCCTACCAATTGGAAAACATTTAGAGTTCGTTCAAAATATTTCTTCCATACACTGCTTTGTTCCTCGTTTGCGGTTTTCACCACTCCATTTTCTTCTTCAACAGGGGAATTTCGAGCATTCCTTCAAGTCCCCTTTTTGAGCCGCTACCTGTGCTAAATGCCTAGGTTATTATAGTAGGTTTGTTTGTATCTTTTACCACTACATTTAATTTCTTTACTAAACCCTTCGTATTCATTATTTAACACAATTTTTTTTATAATATTTATAATAAATATTATTATAAATATGTTTTTAATACATCTTTACATTTTCATCAACATATACTTAAGAGTGTTATCTTATTTTTCAGAACATCGAGCATTGAAGGCGTCGTCACTATGAACGGCCACGAACGTAACTTGAGCGCATTCCGCAAATTGTCGGCGTACATTATGCAGGACAATCAGTTGCATGGTAACTTAACTGTCCAGGAAGCAATGACCGTGGCCACAAATTTGAAATTGAGCAAGAAATTTACCAAACCTGAGAAGAATTCAATGGTTAGTATTTGCCTAATATCCAATTAACAAATATTTGCTCGTGAACTAATTAAAGATATATGTAAACAGTAAGATAATGCACAAGAGAGGGAGAGAGAGAGAGAGTTACTTATTGTCTTTAATAATGAGTTTTTCCAATGTTTCTATGTATGGCTGTACAGACTATACATAAATTGTATTTAAGAATATACACTTTCTGATATTTTGTTGCGACCCACGGAAGCCTATGATTCAGGAAACATGCTTAGGTTAGAAATGGGTGTATTGGAGGGTAAAATAGAGTAGGAATGATATTTTATAACAATAACTATTGTGTTTGTTCTGAACCTCTTTTTTTCTCTCATTAAAATAATATTAAATTGCGATTTTGTAAGTAAATGTGTTTAAAACTGATATTCGTAATTATTATTATTTAATTTTTAATTAAAAAATATATAATTATTGTTTTCTTCAAATAATAAATTGAAATTCCAATTCCAATTGTTCTCTGTGAAATTGAGCATTTGCCTCACTTTAAAATCTACAATTCAAGCGAATTCTAATTACAAATCATTAGTTGGTGTTTATTTTATTTAAGTTTACTTTGTACTTATTTTTATTTTATCTGTATTCAGTTATGAACAATCTACATTCGGAAAAAAAATCATTCTGAAATAAAATTAATCATTATCATTAAATCTGCTGTTTAGTGGCGGCTTTTGTTGCTGTCAGATTGAAATTTCTTGTCATGCAAGGCTTAAGTGACCAGAGTCAGAGATAAACGCGACCGCTTCTGCTAAAGTACGTCTTCAGTCGGAAGCGTTTCTATTAGTTGTAAAACCGGTAAATCTCACAAATTCTGAGTTGTCTTCATATTTGAGACTGGTAGACTGACAGTACGTAATCTTAGTTGGCGCGTGTACACTTCGATTTCCGTACAAACTCTAAAAATGTTTTGATTTATTTCCTACTTGCAAAAAATAAATAATTCATTTTTGATGTTAAAAATTAGCTTTATAAAATCTAAGGTATTAGTTCAAAAACAGGGCATGGTTCTTGTATAGATATTCTTGAAGTTTAGTAATAAAATAAAAAGAAAGTTAGCTTTGGCTTTCCCAATACTTTAATACAACTTAAATATAAGAGATAAAATTATTATTACAAATTAATCAAATAAAATATACTTACAAACTTAAAGGCTAGCATAAAAACTTAGAAATTAAGAGGCTAAGTATTATTGAAAACCATGCGGACAGATTATTATCTTAATACTTTCTGTTCTCCGATATTTTACTTCATCGCTTTATTAATGCCTTGAGAAAAAATGGGGAATTAAACTTTGTATATTAACTCCTTATCTTTTTTTCTTCTTATAATTTTTTTTTCACATTTTTAGTTGTCTTTTTCTTCTTCTCAAAAATTTATTTAAACTAAAATTAACTGAAGCTGAGTTATATGCGAATTATATATTATATGAACACTACTACTACTAGACAACTTATAGACTCTTTAAATTATAAGATCTTTTTTAAATTCTGCAGGTAAACAAAGTTAGTAAAAAAAATAGCCTTATCTTAGTCAAAACCCACATAAAGACGTCCACCAAAAAGGTTCACAAATCCCCAGCAATTCTATTCACTTATTGAATCAAAATAGTTTTTTTTATATAAAAGCGATCTAGTCAAAATCGCACATAGTCCTGACGTAACTACTACTGCTCTTAAAAATTCAGATCACATCATGTCTTATTATCCAATCTTTGGCAAGATATATAAAATTGATACTTTTTGTGAACTTTTCTGTAGTCCTCAATATCCTGATGCAATATCATCTGCTTTAGCTTTAATATTCACTCTTACAACTGTCCCCATCTCCTCCACAGCATTGTCAACTGCATAGATTTATTCTAGAGATATACTCTTCTCTTCACCCTCTCTAGTGAATATGCTCATATTATATTTACTCAATAAGAAAGCAAAAATATCAATACATTTAACTTATTTTTCGACTTTTAGTCTGTCATTTATAAACTGAACTTTTTATCGAAAACTTCTAAGCTAGTTTAAAGAGCTATTCTCTTAAGAAGCTTCTTTGAAAGTCTAATATACCTTTATTTTTAATATCAATCAAATTTGTGGAAATTTTATCTTAACTTAAGGGGATCGTGCACTACTAAAAATATATTCATGAGATGATATTATTCAATTCCACTAATTTTCACTGTTTTCTGCTAATTAAATATAAATGAATCACTTTGAACACATTAGTGTATGTACAAAAACCTATATATTACCTATTATATGTAACATTCTATATTTATATTAACTTAATATCGAAATTAAACTCTTCATTTCCATTTCCACACAGTTCTTCTGAACCTATCTTCTAAATATGAGGTATAAATCCATTTAAACATGATTTCAAAATATTAATCTTGTACTTCTCCGACAGACGATTGAAGCCATGTCGTACATTTCTTATTAAATTTTATTATTTAACTTAACAATAGTGTAATAAATGTTTATAAAGAGTTTATAAAGATAGAACTAACTAACTACCTATTCCTCTTGAACTTAAATCATATAAGTCTCTCAAGTCTTGCTAATCTATAGTGATGATTATAATTTGCACCAAATTGGATATATGGTTCCACTGAGGTCGTGAATTTCGGAACATTGATACATTTTCGATTCTCAATATCACTTCGAATGGGTTTTAATCGAAATCAACAATTTTTAAAGAAATTTGTTTCCTCATATTTATGACTTAATAATTTTAACAATAAAAATTCTTTTACCTTTTTTTATTCACAGATTGACGATATTTTACTGACACTAAGTTTAAGTGAACATCGTAATACATTGACGCGTAATCTATCAGGCGGACAAAAGAAACGTCTCTCTATTGCCTTGGAGCTAGTTAGCAATCCACCGATTATGTTCTTTGATGAGCCGACGTCTGGTTTAGATAGTTCAACTTGTTTCCAGTGCATACATTTGTTGAAAATGTTAGCAGCTGGTGGTCGAACCATCATTTGCACCATACATCAGCCTTCAGCACGTCTCTTTGAAATGTTCGATCAATTATATACGCTCGCCGATGGACAATGTGTTTATCAGGGCAGCACAAAACAATTAGTGCCATTCCTTGGAACTCTCAATTTAGAATGTCCCAGTTATCACAATCCAGCCAGTTATGTGATCGAGGTTGCTTGTGGTGAGCATGGTGATCACACACGCAGATTAGTCGATGCTATCGATAATGGCAAGAAAGATATACGCACATCAGCCGATTATGCTAACTTAAAAGTACGTACAGATCTAGTTAAGGTGCACAATATAAAAGCTAATGTCAGTGGCGGTAAATACGAGGGTAATCTGACAATGAATAATGGCATTTTAAATGGTAATTTAGTGAATGATATTGCCAAAGATTCTAGTGTTTCCAATCCCACTACAGCTGTGGTTAGTACTAATGAAAAAGGTGATGCTATGATCGATATGGAGAAAGCTGATAATTGCACAACAGCTTTGCTATCGGCAGAAATAACTTCCCCCGAGCGTTATCCCACTTCACAGTTTCATCAATTCTGGGTTGTGCTTAAGCGTACACTCTTGTTTAGTTATCGTGATTGGGTGAGTTAAAATTATATGAAAGATAATGAAAGTATCCATTTTAATAATTTATATTTTTTTTTTCAGACTCTGATGTATCTGCGCTTATTTGCTCATTTATTGGTTGGTTTTCTAATCGGTGCTCTCTACTACGATATCGGTAACGATGGTGCTAAAGTCTTGAGTAATTTGGGTTTTCTCTTTTTCAACATGTTGTTCTTGATGTATACTTCCATGACAATAACGATCTTATCATGTACGTCATTTTCAATCAATTTTATTATGTGCATTTTATTAGATGCATAAGACCTAAATTAAGTATCTTATAATATTATATTATTAAAACCTAAAAATTAGCTGATATAGTATTGAACAATTACTGAAATCCACATTTGTTTATCTCCAGTTTAAGATAAATTTGAATAGGTCCAAGTTTGAATATTAGACAACTAGTTTAAAAATGCTAAGTAATTTAAGAATGTCATCTTTACCATAAATTAAATAACATTTTGTAGTGAAGTTGTTGAACGTGTCTTATAAATTTTAAACTTGTGTTAAATTTTCTTAACATTTAAACAATTGCTTTTTGATTGAAATAATTTTAAAGTATTTAAGGCAATACCTGCCAAAATCCATGTAAAATACTCACAAACACCTTCGCACTGCATCATAAGTTATCATTTTTAATAAACGTTATGACATTATTAATATTTCATTTGAGAGTGATAGATAGGATAATAATGTCAAAATGTTCGAAACGTCAATGAAAGACATTGTCAATCTTAAATATTTAACTAAACTATCTGAAGGA